GCAGGGGTCCTCAAACTTTTTAAACAGGGGGCCAGTTCACTGTCCCTCAGACCATTGGAGGGCCGGACTATAGTTTAAAAAAAAACTAGTCGGCTGCTAAACAACAGGCAGTGGCGGCAAAAACACCCGGCGGGCCGGATAAATGTTTTCGGCGGGCCGAAGTTTGAGGACCCCTGCTCTATAGAGACCCCTCTCCCCAATCATAGTGCTATATTTTCTGAATAGAAATTATAACAGCTCTACAGTTAAGTACAGAATAAATTCATGTATATAGAGTTCAGACTTTCCAAAAAATAATAGACTCTGAGCAAAAAGAGATCTTAGAATTTATCTGTCTTTTAATACTCTTAACTCTTCAAAACCTAGAAGGGAAAAAACCTTGACAAAGCTGGTACACATCACTGAATTGGGCGTTCTCTTGGTTAGTTGTATACATACACATAAAACAACAGTTTAGAAGCAGCAGTATTGACAATGAGAAGAAACAGCTGTCTGCAGAGAAAGAAGATGGAGTAACTATGAAAAAGAAGATAGAAGAATTACAAAAGCATTGCTGTCCAGAGGATTTTAGCTTACTCCTTACTAAGTCCTGTTCTCTATTACTCTACCATATCATGAATAATATATATGATGTTAATGAGTCATCATGGATATTTAAATCAGTGGTTCTCAGCCCTGGCTGTGGAGCAGAATCAACTTTTGAATTCAACAATAACCATCAAACAAAGTAATAAAACCGGATGCCCATGGCCTATATCCACTGAATCAGAATAGACAGGGGTAATGTCCAAGCATGTTTGAGGAGATTATGATGCAACCAGGGTGAGAACGACTGAAAATAGATTATGTACCCTTTATTCTCCTTTGTATAGAACATCTGATGATATATTTAAGAAAAATATTTATACATGTTATATGTATAATTTATCTTGTTTCAGTTATTTAGAAAGAGTATTTATGTGAGGTATTTTTTTCTCATAGCAGTGGATGAATGAGGTGGTACTTTTATAAGCTAGATTTGGGAACTTTATTTTCTTCTTTATTATTACAGACATATGGCACCCAGGAGAAAGATGTCTTGTCCCTTCTCCAGATAATGAAAAACTTTGTGAAGCAAGTATAAAATCTATCATCGTGGATGAAAATGGGAAGTCATTTGCAATCATCTTATATTCAGATTTTCAAGAAAGGAAAGTACCTCTTAAAAGACTTCAAGAAGTAAAATCTGTTAAAGATTGCTCCAGGAATTTCATATTTGATGATGAAGATTTAGAAAAACCTTATTTCCCAGACCGAAAATTTCCATCATCTGCTGTTGCTTTTCAGTTATCTGAAGATGGAGACTCTATTCCTTACACTATTAATAGGTATTTGAGAGACTATCAAAGGGAAGGAGCCCAGTTTCTTTATGGACACTTCATCCAAGGAAGAGGGTGTATTCTTGGTGATGATATGGGACTTGGAAAAACAGTACAGGTAATTACTTTAATTACTTTACAATTAATATTCCATAAAGTCATTTTATTATAAACATGAGTAGGTACCATATGGAAATCTCTTGTGTTTACTCTCAGTTCTTACGATAGCTAGTGTGTGTATGTGTCACCCACCTGACAGTAAAGTCCTTAAAGTTAAGGACAGTGCCTTAGTCATTATTTTATTCTCAGAACTTACTTAGTAGTACTTAGTATTTATGAAATATATTATTCAACATAATGTTTTGGCTTCATTTTACCTTTGGTAATACTAGTAGTAAGATATCAATTGTATTAGTTTAACTTTCTTAGTAATACTTGATGGAAGGAAAGTGGTCTGATATTTATTGAGCTGGATAGCATTGTTAAATTGATTCTGACAGGCCTTTTGTGCCCATTGCATCAGAAGTTTCCTAGCCTGGGATCCCTGGGCCACTAGGAGTTCTATTGGTAGACATTTCCCTAAAATGTGTGCTGGAATTTACATGTACTATACATGCTTTTCTGCTGAGAGGATCTATATTAGTTATCTATTGCTGTAAAACAAATTACACCAAAATTCGGTAGCTTAAAAATGGTGCACATTTATCATGTTGTAGTTTTTGTGGGTCACAAATTCAGGTACAGTTTAGCTGGGTCATCTGTCTCTGTCTCTCTCGATGCTGCAGTCCTCCCTTGGAGTAGGGAGCACCCACTTCCTGGAATAAATGAATTTGCTTTCTCAGAACAGGTGGCAAGAATAAAGAATGCCTTTCAGAAACTACTGTCTGTGACTAAGATATATAGATAGATACTAGAGGTAAATAAACCATAAAGCCCTTTTGTAACTCTTTACATACACTTTTACTGCTTTTGCCCACGCTAGAATGTTCTTTCTCACACTTCTTTGACTAGCCAATGCTTGTTCATTTTCCAAATCAGAAAGGTGAGGGTGCTACAAAAAGTGACCTGCAGTTTGGGCACCCTACCTTAAAACTATTTAAGTACAGTGAAAATTCTTCTGCAAGTTTTAGGCTCAAGTTTAGTTTTCATCTGTGAAGTCCATGTTACAAAGAAATTCCCTATATTTTATACTTCATAGAATAATTTTTAAAGTGATTTCACTATATGATTTTATGTTACCTGACACACTAAAATCATTGGAAGGCTCTGAGTTGTATTATATGCTGTGAAAGTCTTTGAGAGTTCATCTCCTGAAGATTAGGAAGTAGTTTCTGTACTAATTTTGATTCTTAGCTGGATAGTCCGTCCTTGGGGACCTAGTTCTCTGGTTCTCGTAATTCAGAGACTAATTTCTACATAAATAGGAAGTTTGGGAGACCCATATAAGATAGAGTCTAGAGATATAATGACTATACACTGAGTGGCCAGATTATTATGACCACCTGACATTTGTAGGCAAATTAGCTATAATTTCGCGCTGAAGTTGCTAGAAAGCCAGACCATTATAAATAGGGAAGCAGGTTGTTTACCACAACAGTAGAAGTGATTTTTTTCTGAAGATATGAGTAAACAACGCGATTTAACAGCCTTTGAACGTGGGATATATTTGAACGTGAGTGGCCAGATTATTATGACCACC